GTCAAGATGTATGTTTACTTGGAAATGTGGGCTTTGATTCACCTTCTGTGGCTTGTTGTGTCAAGCGATGGCGGTCAGTGTCCCAATGACAAACCTAAAAACTGTAAATGTACCTTATTTGGGAAAAGATCCAGTTTTACAAGATACATAGTTGACTGCATGGGTTATGAGCATGTACCAAGCGGTATCCCTTCAAACACGGTGATATTGTATGTTTTGTACGTTGTTATTTATCTTAATAATTGTCAATACTATCTTTTGAGATCAGGGTTGGGTGATTTTCGGCGCTCTTAACAGACCTGGAAAGAAAGAAGGAATAAATAAATAAAAAAGTAAATCTACCTTTTAAGGTATTGGAAAGCGTTGTATACAGCAAGACAAATTAGGAATCAAATTCGATCACAAGATTACGCTTGGACGAAAATTCTTGCCCAACCTAAATCACCGAACCCGGAATTTGTGAATATTTAACAATTCTATTAAATTAATAGCTTTCGTTTCATCTGAACAATTATTGAGATGGAGCAGGGAGTTATCGCACCTGGATCTCCATTCTTCAGATGATACGAAAGCCATTCATTCAAATATTTCTTACTTGTAGTTTCAAAAGAAGCTAAAACATGCTTACTTCCATCGAAATTATAAGTTCATCTTTGATAGTGCAAGTTAATCGGCAAGTTTAGGAGATAAAGAGTTTTTAGCTCTGCAAATATTTTCCAAATAGCAGATGTTCCTCTATCGGGTAGTCTTCTTGCTGTTCTTGCAATGTTTTTAGCCAATAGTTCGCCTATTTCTTCCTCGGGAAACGAGTGAAACAACTCAACCTCGTCACCAGGTATGCCTGGTTAACGGTTGAATAATCTGGCAATTTTGATGCACTATTGACGTCATCTTTCACATATCGCAAGATTCTTCCAAATTTAGTAGACAAAAGCTGGTAATGATGAATTACGCATGCATTTTAGCCAATCAGAAACGCAGAAATATTTTGAAAGATAATAATTTACTTTATGTTGAGGCTAACTCTGTATGAATGTGTCGTTAAGATTTGTATTCAGCGGTGATTTTTAATTCGAAACTGGATTTTTGGTAGGATCATCTGTAAAACAATGAAAAACAAAGACGTAAACACGATAGAACCGCGAAAAACAAAAGGTGCCAGAAAAAGACAAGGTTCACAGTTGCGAATCGAATTGTTGCATTACTTGTATATGTATTCACGGACCTTAATCGCAACACCAACGCCTTCGCGTGCACATACCATGCATGTTAGTTGGTAAAACACAGGCATCCAAAGAATGTGGACAGAGTCGGGAAAAAATACAGTTAATAGTCAAGAGTACTGCTGACCAAGAAGAGTGTGCGTGCTCCTCTTGTCGCCCGTATTTAGTCAGATAGTCATGAGGTTCCAGACTGGTGAGTTGATAAGGCAGGCCACACATTGTTAAAGTAGATTCCTAGTTATTCCTAATAACAGCTGCTCAACATGTCCTACTTTTTTTCAGGAACCTTTCGACGAATTCTTTGAAATCCATTCACGAAGACGCATTTGCAAACCTCACTTTTCTAAAGAGAATGTAAGTGAGTAAACGCTTTGTACTGCATGACTCTCGATGAGTTATATATCGGCTAAAGCACAACGCACAAATGACGTCAGAGTGATTAAATTGTTGTCTGATTTTTGTCATTTTGTTCATTTTACATTGTTTGTAATGACAGAAGACAATCAAAAGTAAGGCATTCACTTATGTTAATTTCAATTTGTTTCCCTGAGTCTCAGAGACCCCATTTACACTGGTCCGGACAAAGTTTTGAACTGAGCAATTTTTTACCTGTGCAACCAGCTTACACGAAACCGTGCAAATTCTGTCACAGATTCCAGTATTGGTTTTCGTTCAAAAACTTACACGATTCCGCGGATAAACGAAAAGCGGATACGTGCAGATTTTATTTTTGTCCGTTCAAAAATTTGTCCGGACTCGTGTAAACATGTTCTTAGTTTTATGAATAGTAGCTGTACGCTGCGCTATTGATACAGATGGTAATAAAATGTCACAACTAGCCTGTGAACAGGCTCTCTCTGTTGGCTATACACAACCTAGCGTTTAGGTTGAATAGCAATACATTTTTTTTATCAGTTTCGCTTAAATTCTGTAAAAAACAGATGAAAAAAGAAAAAGAAGTTCACATGATTTTTACGATATTAGGTTAAGTTCTTTACAGTGAAGTTACTGTTTTTAAACCCACTTTCGGATGTCATTTCAGCTTTTACAGTGCAACTTCTACTCAGGGGACACCCTTGGCACCGACGAAAAATGTCCAAAAAATTGTTTGTGACTTCACAACTGAATAGAAAATGAAGTACAAGCAGAAACTTGTGATGTTCCGTAACCAACTGAAAAAGAAGCTGGGACTTCTTCCATCCTTCTTAGACATTTTTTTGGTTTCTTTGTTTTAATATTTTTAACATTATTGTTGTTGTTGTTGTTGTTGTTGTAGTTGTTTTTTGGTTTTCCTCCTTGCCTAGTAGGTTCAAGTATAACTGTAGTTCTCATTTTAGAATTATTTTTAAATTACGGTTTTGCTAATTTGGATTATTATTTGTGTATTCGTCTGACCGTCACACAATGAAACGTCACGTGAAACTGATAGATGTCTGTGTTTTTATGCAGAGACCTTTCAAACAACCAGCTAAGGTTCATTCCACGGAACACCTTCAGGAATCTATCATCACTGGCAGTTGTGTGGGTTTTAGCTATTACTGTTCAGTTTAAAAGTGTCAAATTTAAATCGTTGCTTACGAAAATAAATTATTGTGTTGCGCAATGTTAGATGACTAAACATTGTTGGCTCTTGAATCCTGGATCCTGAATTAATAAATCCAGGTGCTTGGTATTTTGTAAGAGGACTAAAGCAATAGCAGTTAGTAGCCGGAATAAATCTGTTTAACACGGATTACCATAAGTAGATAGCACAAAGCTCGGGCAAAGCGAACGAGAACAGCTTAGAAAAACACCTGATTCAACTAAACCCTGCAAGGTCGCTCTGGGAGAAAAAATTGATTTACAGCAAATTTGGTCATGGAAAATATATCGCAAAAATGTGTAAACTGAGGAGTGAATCAGGGGTTATGATGGTAAATGACGCATTTGCCTTCTAATTTACAATCCCGCCAGATTGGTAAATTTACAAATGTGGCATTTACTATCTTTACCTATATCAGGCCATTTGCGATGCTGTCTACTCTCATGCAATAACTCTTGTACACAAGGAGGTTTTCTTACTTAAACCCATTTCGAAAGTCAGAGTTTTTAGAACTCGGAAAAGGCCTGATGATTGCACATTTTTACGATATGTTTGCCGTGAGAAAATTCCTACCAACAATTCCCTTTTTACGTCCAGTGTTGGTCACTCTGCTTTGACTATAACTATTAGTAATTCAAACTACAAATTAAAAAAAAAAACTTTATCGATCACCACCGAGTCGCATTATAAGCGGATAACGGAAATGAATGTACGCAATAATTAATTAATTTCAGCAGGAAGCCTAAAGTACATCAGGTTTGACGCTAAATCCATTATTATGCACTGTTTATTACTTTTTATTCTCTAACTATTGAAGGAATTAAATAAATATTAAAATAAGTTGAGCTTTCCATGAGCTTTTGAAATAAGAAATTCATTAAGCCCGTCTATTCAAAGCTCCATTTCTAAATAGTATTCTAATGCTTTATATCTAACAACCAAATAGCCTTTTGAAAATATCGTCTTAATGTCTCAAGGGCGAGGTTAGGAGAGACGCTTCCCTCAACCAGAAAAATCACCAGAAATGAAAAGTTCCGAAAAGGTTTTTTGGGTCAAAACCTTTTTGGAAATATGGAAGGGGTTTTTTAGGTTGACTTTATATGACTCCGAATTTATCAATTGTGTGTTTTGTTGTTGCAGTTATCTTAGTGAAAACTTCATTAGCGGAGGATTTCATCTTCCCCAAACAGTAGACAGACTGTGAGTTTTTATTCAAGTAGATTTAAAGGTCAAATGAACCAAAAAATTGACATATTTTCTTTTGTCGCTTTACCTTCACCAAACACTAAAAAGAACCATCCTTAGTGAGATTTGGGCAAATATTTTTCTTCCCAAGCCTTTACAGAAAGAAAAAAGATCAAAATCCGAGCATTTCCGAAAACTTCACGAAAACGTTTCTGAAATGGCCGCGTGATAGACTGGAGACTGCGTAACGTCAATGTAGGTCTTTCAGGGCGGAAAATCGTTTTGCGCAAGCTTCTGCGCATCCCTTATCGCCTGCGTTTGTTCATTCTCGTCCCCAGAGCCCGTCGTTTCTTGGTCACGTGGTCGGGAAACGACGGTTACAAATTGAGCCGAATGGCTCTGGGGACGAGAATGGCGTTTGTTTGTCTCGTCCTGTGAGAGTTCTGACTGAGAATGAATGAAATACAAGAGGTGCGAACGTTTGCTCCTTGTAAAGGCTTTTTTTTGTTTTTGCTGTTGTTGTTTTTTCGTCACTTGAAAATTACTTTGGATTCAGAACAACCAATGTTAGAGTAAAAACAGATCATCCGTCAGTCTGAGGAGGAATAAAACGTTTTGAACATTTCCTAAGAGGTTTGTATTCTGATAATTGTGCATTCGATTTGTGAATTGATTTTGTGTCCAGTTCTTCGCCTTCTTTCGCCGAACTGAATTAAATCCCGCTTGTATTCTATTACTAGTAGTTACGGTTAGTTTTTTTTACATGCCCAGATTTATTTACCTTTGCAGAACCAGCTTTATCCTTGTCTTATGTCAAAGAACTGTAATACTAATGCTTGCGAGTGAACAAACTTGAGCGCTTAAAACTTCCTCGGAACTTTAGAAGGCCAGCAAGCTTACTCGAGAAGAAAAGACTACTTCGATCATTTTTCTGTTGCTCAAGTAATAATAGTCAGAGTTTTTTCCTTTAGTTTTTTCAGTTTTAATTACATAGTTTTGTTATCTTTCTG